TAAGACAAATAATCCATCTGGATCAATCTTTCCATGCAATACATATCAGACCGTGGTCTCACACAAATTTATTTTAAGAGTTAGGACTTCCCCTTACAAGAGCAATAGCAAGAATTTCTTCCATCTAATTTATTTGGTAAGTTTTAGTCAGCAGATTTTTATAGCTTAAAGGAACCATTTCAGTTTCATTTAACAAATTAATTGCAGTAGTTTGAAAGCACACTCTTGTGCATTATTCTTATTCAATTGTTGATGTTGATTTATTCTGTGTGGTGCTGTGGTAGAATAAAAGTGAAATAATAGTCATGCTTTTAAAACCAGTAACTTTTACCCTCATTGAAACAGCCATTTAGATTATTTAGTAGGTCCTGACTTAAATAATGGCTCCTCAGAGATCACATTTTTCAGCCTAAAAGATACTGTCCTATTATGTGCATTTATGTAGAAATTATGGTGACAAACTCTTCCTTGTATTCTATTAAGAAAATCGTTTCTGTACCATTACAAATTGTAATAGTTAACATGCCTGTGATGCTAGCCTAGAGTAAATTTATGCTCTGGCTCATAAATAAATTTAGGGCAAAAACAAAAATATTTAGGCAAGAGTCATTTTAGGCAGAGATTCTTTTAAAGGGCTATGTATAGTGTCTAATTTGACAAAAAGCACCCAAAAATACTAAGCATGGGAATGTGATGTTATTATTACTATTATCATTATTATCAGACATGTACCAACAACTGAAACTTCATGGAATTGTGATAAAATTACTCTTTAAAAATATAGCAGTTATTTTGAGATATAATTCACATACCATATAGTTTACCAACTCAGTGGTTTTTGTTATATTTAGAGAATTTTATAACCATTACCACAATCAGTTTTAGATAATTTCCATCATCCCTAAAAGAAACCCTGAACTCATTAACACTAATTTCCTATTTCTCCCCAAATCCCCCAACTCTTGGCTACCACTAATCTATTTTCTGTCTCTGTGGATTAGACTATTTTGGATATTTGGAATAAATGGAGTCATAGCCCTTTTTAAGAGTAGTTTCAGTAACTAAGTTTGAGTTTTCAAGGTTCAACCATGTTATAACATAAAACAATACTTCATTCCTTTTTATGTTTAAACAATATTGCATTGCATGGCTATACTACATTTTGTTTGTACTACATTTTCATTAGGTAGACATGGTTGTTTCCATTTTTCAGCTGTTTTGAATAATGGAGTTATACATATTCATGTACAAGCTTTGGTGTTAAAATACATTTTCACTTCTCTTAGATATATACCCAGGGGTAGACATGCTGAATCATCTAATAATTTATATTAAGGAACCATCAAAATATTTTCCAATATGCCTACACCATTTTACATTCCTACCAGCGGTGTATGAGGGTTCCAATTTCTTGGCCTCTTTGCCAGTATCTGTTACTATGTTTTTTATTACAGCCATGCAGATGAGCGTGAAATGGTGTCTCATTGTGCTTTTGATTTGCATCTGCCTGATGACTAATGACATGAAGTGACTTTTTATTTGCTGTTGGCCATCTGTATATCTTCTTGGGGAAACATCTATTGCAATCTCTTGGTCATATTTTAAGTTGGTTTTTATATTTATTACTAAGTTGTAAGAGTTCTTTGGGTACTCTTTATTCTAGTCCCTTACCAGATATATGACATGGCAAACATTTTTTCCAATCCTGTGGGGCATCTTCACTGTCTTAGTGGCTATAGCTGTATGTCTCGTAACATTCTTATCCTTCAGGACATTGTGTGCTTTAAACTCTTCTACTCTGGATTAGTTTCTCCTCCTCTTTACATAGCTTTGCACTACAACAGCAGCTGTCACAGTGTCTTGATGATATAAGTTTAGGATTTGTCTACCCTATCAGAAGCAGTTGTGTCTTACAAAATTTTGTGTATGCAGTGCCAGGAACTCCAGTGCCTAACACAAAAATGGGAGTTCAGTAGTTGTTAGAGTAAACTGAACCTCGAGTCTAAAAAAGAAAAAAGATCTAGGTCAGTACTGACTCAAGAAAGTTGACAGAAAGGCCCTTAATAGACTGTCTAACTTCAGCCACTTGTGTCCTCACTACAGGATTCCTAGCGTGGAGCCGATTACAGGCTGCTTTGATCTGTTCTGAACAGCAGACTGAAATTTATACAACCAAGCATTTATTTTATTCATTTCTTTGGTACCGGGGATCGAACTCAGGCCCTTGTGCTTGCAAGGCAGGCGGTGAAACCACTGAGCTAAATTCCCGGCCCAAAAGTATTTCATTATAACCCAAACCCACATAGCCTTTTTTTTTTTTGGTACCGGGGATTAAACTCAGGACCTTGTGCTTACAAGGCAGACTGCAGAACCACTGAGCTAAATCCCCACCCCCACCCCCATTTCTTTATTTAAAAATCTTTCAAATTCTTTGGTGCCATACGTTAAGTCTAGTGAAGTCATATGAATATATGAATAGAGCTTTGCCATTTGTGCAAGGAGGTGATGTGGTATACTGTGCTGCCTTGTGTTGTGGTCTAAGGGATCCCAAAGTTTTCTCCCCCTAACAGGGTATTTCCTATGGTAGTAGTTTTCCACTAATTTTTAAAAAATGATCTTTGTAATGATCTTTTCCCTGTTTGCCCTAAACTTTTCTAAATTGAAGAGGTAATTGGATGATTCTCCTCCATTTTTGGAGTGTATTTTATTTTCTTGCAAAGGTTCTGTACATTCTCTCTCTCTATTGTTAAAAATGTTGCAAGTGTCCTATTTTGATCAGAAAAGTGCCATAACATGAAGTAACAGTTACTCCCTGTTGAATGAAGATACAGATTTAATAGTTTAAACCTAGTCCTTCTCAGAACTCCCTAGTTCTTAATTTCAAATCCTGATAGAATCGAGCAAAAGAAGATATAAAAATGAGACTTGAGAAGAAAGCCCAGATAATGTGTGTACCATTGTATGCTCAGACACACACACACAGTGGGGGGGGGGAGAACTAGTTGATAGCTAAAGATGATTTATTTTTGCTTAGCATAGCAAGCTGTGTTAAAAATTATTTCATCTCAAAAGACTTACTGGAATTCCTGAATGAGGAATTCCCCCACTTAATTTTTTTTTCTTTATGAAACAAAATTAGCTCTGTGTTTTTGGAGAAAAAAGGTTTGGCAGACATGCTGATTATAATACTACTCTATTAGAAAACACTTATTTTGATTGACTGAAAAACAGATACTGCTCCTGGTAGTTAAAAGCTTGTGATAATGTGTGCACTCTGGTGTCCACCACACTTCTGTGAGGTTAATAAGAGGATTTCTCTGAGCCAGGTGTGGTGGTACACACATGTCATCCACATCCAGGTACTCGGGAGGCTAAGGCAGGAGAATTGAAAGTTTGAGGACAGCCTGGCAAGACCTTTTCTCAAAAAAGAAGAGGAGGAATGAGAGGAGGAGGAGGAGGAGGAGGAGGAGGAAGATCCTCACAATTCAGAGGTGTAAAAACCAAGACAGAACACATGAAATTGTTTTTCTTCCTCCAGGACATCCCCCACCCCAAAAGCAGCTTTGCCTGGAATACAACCTCATTGATGTCACAGATCTTGTGTTGTCCTTGCCATGTATAGTTCAGGCATAGTACAGCTACTCAAACATTCAGCTAGAAGGACAAGAAGTTAAGTGTTTGCTTAGCCAGACTAACAGGTCAGAGTTGGAGGTGGAGGTCACATTACTACTTACTAGCTAAAGTCCTTCGATAAAGTATTTTATCTCCTTAGACTTCAATTTACTGTTTGTAAAATGAAAGGTAATACTTGTGCCTACTAGTAGTAAACACTATAGTATAATTAATTGTTATTAAATTCAACAAATTTCCTGACCATCTCCTCCACTCAGAACTTGACTCCCTGCTTGATTAAACAGGGTCAAATTCATAAATATAGATCATCAGCTCAGTCCTTCCCTGTTGAAGAGGGATAATAGGAAGAAACTGAAGAAGTGTTATTTTAACATTGATTTCCAGTAACTCCACTGGATTAGATTCAGTGCCCTCATTTATGGAATATGTGTTGACATAGGGAAAGATGAAATAAAGAAGTATTCCAGTATGAATATTCTTGTCTTTGGAGGTTAGCCTTGGATCTTAGAACAAAAACAAGTCAGTAGTTATTAGTTAGTTACTTTATCTCATTTTCCAAAACACCAGTTTCTTTGTAATAGTCATTCACAGATATTTTCACATGCAACATTTTTGCTGTTAATCTTTTACTAAATCGTGAAATAACTAACCTTGCTGTATTAAAATTGTCAAAGGATTCTTTCAGGATTATATGTCTCCATAAGGGTGTTAGTTTGAACAGTATATAAAAAGTAAAAGCCAAGTGAATAGGCCTTGATGTTGTGAACAGAGTAAGTAAGTGGAATCTGAGGTTGCCTTGTTATGAATGGGTTATTTGGATATAGAAAGAAGTTATATTTAGGCATGGCATTCCTATAAACCCCGAAGCTATGTGTTTTACAAACGAGAAATTTATGTGCTAAATAAAAATTGCCAGATGTCATTCTCTGTGTATGCCAACTGGCGAATGTGTAGTGGCTCAGAAATCTGGGAGAAGTGATGCCCATTTCTTGCTATTCAACTCAAAAGGGATAGTTGAAGTAAAATGCTGTTGAAAAAATTATGATATATTCAGCTACCAAAGATATCCCATGTTATAAATTGTTATCTGAAGGACTTTAATTTTTTTGTCATTGATGATGTGTTGTGACATTATAAATGTGACACATATGTGTACTCTAATTTATTGTATTTGAATTCCCGAAGTCTCATTGCATTCTTTTAAAGGATCAGCAGATACCTTATTTAAAGAACTTATCCAGTCCACAGCACTCTAATAAAGATCCAGGACACTATATAGTCTATATAATATCAGAGTTCCTGTTTTATATCTTGCCCACATGAGCCATTTTCCCAAAATCGTCAAATGCATTCTCTTCTTTCCTTAGAAATTCGAGCTCAACTGGTAGAACAGCAAAAATGCCTGGAGCAACAAACAGAGATGCGAGTTCAGCTTCTCCAGGACCTTCAAGATTTCTTCCGGAAAAAAGCAGAAATTGAGACAGAATATTCTCGGAACCTAGAGAAGTTGGCAGAAAGGTTCATGGCAAAAACAAGAAGCACTAAGGATCATCAGCAGTACAAGTAAGAGAGACTTAACTCAAATGCACCTTCCTGTAGTGATAGCTCTTGCCTTTCTACCAAACCATATTGTTCTAGACTTTTCCATTTTTGTGTGAGGAGCTATTGGTGGGCATATTCCCATAAGCAAAAGCAGCTCTCTGCCTTTATAGTTTAGGGACATCCATTTATCATATTTGAAAAACTAATGATAGTCTCTTGAAATTTTTCTGTTTCTCATACAAATATTATTTATGGATAAGTTTATATATAAGAAGGTATGTTTATAAAGTTCTAGATTATAGAAAAGTGGGAGTTATTCTTGGCCACAGGTAGATATTTGAAAAGAAGGTTTTAGAAAACTGTTTCTTTCAGCAAAGACCTGCAGATTTCTGTAAAATGAAAATAAGCAATATGAGTTGCTTGAGTTTAGCGCTTCCCCCTGCTCCGCTCAACATGTTGGTTGTTGTTACATTCAAGACTGATTTCAAACAAGGACCTTTAGAAAAATGCTTGTGTGTGAGCATAATTAAACCTTAACATTAATTTTACTTCATTTGTTTAAAACAATACAGGTTATTCTGCTAATGAAATATACTTTATAATTTAATTTATGGAGCAAACCAATAAGCAGACTGTGCAATAGCACATGCGAATATGGCAGAATGGGCTTAGCAGGGAGACTGGGCAGACATGACTGAAATTTGTTCAGTGATATCTTAGCAGAGACCTAAAGCACCACTTGGGGAGTCAAGGAGGCTACTCTGGCAAGGCGAACTTCATGAGTAAAGGGCCCAGGGTCAGGTTTGCAGCACAGAAAGTAGTCCAGTGGGGCTGTGTAGTGAGTGGAGAGCTGCATGGCTACTGGGCTAAATTGGAGCTGATCACAGAATTCTTATTCATCATTCTGGGCAATTTTGATTTTATCCTGAGGGCATGAGAAGCCTTTGGAGAGTTTGAAGTAGAAAGGTGACCTACTCACAACTGCATTTGAAAACAGTGAGAGAGACCAGCGTTAGGAGAGTGGACTGGAAGGAGATGAATAAAGGGAACTCTCCAGGGGTGGTGGAACCTGCTGTCCCGGAGGCAGAGAGAAATGGACCTACTGGGAGACAGTTAAAACGGCAGTGTGACTTTCCTTTCTAATACTACAGCACACCAGATAACCTGGAAAGCACTTCTGCCACAAAACTCTTAGAAATGCTGGTCAAAATGTAATAGACATGCTTTTAAATGTACAGCTAGACTCACAAGAAAGTACAGGAAATTTCCAGGGACAAAAAGGAAGGGGGAAGTGAAGACCTAAGTGGCAGTGCCCCCACGCTTTAATCCCATGTGGGGATGGAAGACGAGGTCTGTGCAAGGTGAAATTTTGTCACTAAGAACTTCCCTGACACCAGTCTTTCTGCATTACATCCCAGGACCAGCAGAGCTACTAACTCAGTGAAATGGTAAAACATAGAACCACCTCCACACCTGCATAGGAGCATGACGAGGAGAGCCATCTGCTCAGTCAGGAGAGGGCTGCTGAAATCCATGCCTTTTTGTCCACCACTGGTTTTACAGTTCCATTTTATACCCCTCCATCATCTGGATCCTACATATAAAAGTAGGGTGGGGGCCGGGGATTTAGCTCAGTGGTGCCACTGCCTGCCTTGAAAGCTCAAGGTCCCGAGTTCGATCCCTGGTACCAAAAAAAAAATAAATAATTGGAATAGATGGTCTCTACCTCAAACTGATAGAAGCCATCTATGAAAAACCAACAGCCAATATCATACTAAATGGTCAAAAACTGAAAGCCTTCACACTAAAATCAGGAACAAGGCAAGGATGTCCACCATCACCACTCTTGTTCAATATAGTTCTGGAAACATTAGCCACGGCAATTAGACAAGAGAAAGAAATAAAAGGAATAAAGATAGGAAATGAAGAAGTCAAATTGTCATTATTTGCAGATGACATGATACTCTATATAGAAGACACCAAAAACTCCACCAAAAGTCTTCTAGACTTAATAACCAAATTCAGTCAAGTAGCTGGTTACAAGGTCAACACACAAAAATCAATAGCTTTCCTCTGCACGAATGACAGACTCACTGAGAGAGAAATAGGGCAAATAATTCCTTTCACAATAGCATCCAAAAACACTGAAATACCTAGGAATCAACCTAACGAAAGAAATCAAGGACCTCTTCTCTGAAAACTATAGCACTCTGAAAAGAGAGATTGAAGATGATATCAGAAAATGGACAGACATCCCCTGCTCCTGGGTAGGAAGGATTAATAGAGTGAAAATGGCCATACTTCCAAAACTGCTATATAGATTTAATGCAATTCCAGTTGAGATCCCAGCAGCATACTTCATAGACCTCGAGAAAACAATCCAAAAATTCATTTGGAGCAAGAAGAGACCCAGAATAGCAAAAGCAATTCTAGGTAACAGAGACATGGCAGGGGTTATCACAATCCCCAACCTGCAACTATACTACAAAGCTACTGTGATAAATAAGGTGGAGTTCTTTGGCAGAAACAAGTGCAAAAGTATTCTAGATAAGGAACACATTTTTCTTTTCTTCCCTTTCTTCTTTTGTGGATGAGTTTAACCTCTGATTTTTGTGCACCATAGAAATCTTAGTGATGATTCCCAGAGTGACCAAATGTCTAATGTACATGCAGAGACTGAGGCTGGAAAAAGGAGACTGGAGCCAGTACTATATTCACATTTATAGTAACTGTCCTTTTTAAAGAACAGTTGCAAATAAGAAGATAGCCCACTCATCTATTCAACAAATATGTTTGAGCATTTTCTTCTGTATATGTAATTAGTAATTAGTTTTGAACTGAAAATATGAGTGGGCCCTTGCTCCATAATCTGTTCTCTTAGTGAATTAGAGGCCACTTTCTGTTTCTCCAGTTTTATTTGATAGTTTTCTTCAAAAGATAAGCAGCTTAACCTTTTATTTGATCTGAGTAAGTTTATTATTGAATTTGAGAATGATGATGAAATGAATGATAAGTCTAGGGAAAGGATAAGCCAGGAGTAAAAAAAACCAAACAGGTTTTATCAAAGAGTCAGCCATTTAATAGTGTCTCCACTATATCTTTGGTTAAGTTTCATACCCTGTCCTTTACTTATTTCCTAACAAGTAAAATTTATGACCATTAAGGGAGGAATATCAAAAGTCCTTGCTATGCTTTATAGCTGATGTTGGGCACGGCCACCCCTCCCCGCAAGTGCTCAGTCTTCGGCATGGCAATATTACCAGTCATGCAAGCTGGACTCTGGAGTCTGCTCTTATGCAATGCTTGCCTATTGTGCAGAACAATCTTTGGCCTAACATTGCCACCAAATAGTGGAAAGACCAAGGCTTAGATCAGGCTCCCTGAACACAAAGACTCACTTTGACACTAGCTTTGGCCTTTATCAAATCCCCGTGCCTTGCTAAGCTTTAGTTCTCTCATTCATGGAAAGGACACAAAGAATCTCTGCCTTACATGGTAGTGGTAAGGATTAAGTAGAATTAATGTCAACTTCTTAGATCAACTTCTGAATAAAAATAACTAACTTTATATAGCACAGACTGTATGCCTTCACCATTACTGTAAGCATTTAAAAATATATATTAACTCAAATTATTCTCATAATAATATTATGAGATAAGTCCTATTATTTTCCCATTCTGCAAAGTAACACAGAGGCACAGAGAAGTTAAAATTATTTGTCCATGACTGAATAGCTAGTAAGTGGTAGCTGGGGCAAGAACTTGGAATAGCTCCAGCATCTGCGATCTTGGCCTGCATTCTATTTCTCACTTTGTGTATGGTAGCTGCTAGTATCATTATTATTGAAGTTATTATGATTACTGATACTAGTAGTAATATGGCAGTAATACATTTATGAAATAATACTCATTCTTACAATGGGACAGGACACTGGAAATACAAAGAAAAATAAAATATTCTCAAAGAATTTGAGTTGCTTCAATATAAAAGATATACATAAAAGTTTTTATAAATCAGGAGACCTTTACCCTGAGGCTGGATAGATAAAGAACATCAGTAGAAAAGCTCTATTTACCTGCCATAGAACCCTTGCTCCTTTCCTGATGGTCTTGAGGAAAAAGGGGAGTCCTTAGAGGAGGCTATAACTCTCCCTGTGTCATGGGAAGTGAGGGGCTGCCCTAGGGTAGTCTAGTGCCAAGACATTTGTTGGATATTTTTTCTCCAGGCCCATTTCTGCTTCTGTCCTCTGCTTCCTGTTTCTTCCAGAGGGTTTTGACTGGATGAAATATTAAATCCAAAATCTGAGAGACAGTGGCAGAAAAACCTGACTTAATCATTTTTTACTAACTGAATTAATATTTAGGATTATCTGTGATCATAAATAGGAAAATAATACATCTAATTAAATGGTACTTGTGTCCTTGAGTTACGATAAACATTTTGTGCCATTTTGCAATTTTACAGTGTGCTTTTAAACAAATAAAATTGTTTTGTAAAGCAGTAACATCCCAATTGCTCACTATTTTCACTTGCAGTTTTTCTTTGAGATTTTTAAACCATCTTTTTTTGTGTAGTTCATAGTCATTTTTAACTTTATTCTCTAAAATAAAATAATGGCCAGTTACAAATCTGAAATAGCTCAGTGGGTTTCAGTACAGAAAGAGACAAGTCACAAGCCAGCAAACTTCTTGGTTCTATTCATCAGCCTTGAGACAATACTATGAAGTTCTGGTTACTGGAAACACTTTTTGTGAGGCTGGAGATTATGTATCAGGGAATTAATAAATAACCATCAAGTTTATTTTCCATGGAAAGCAAAACTAGCTAAATTTCTTTCTTTCTTTCTTTTTTGTACTGGAGATCGAACTCGGGACCTTGTGTTTGTGAGGCAGTTGGCAGAACCACTGAGCTAAATCCCCGGCCCTAGCTAAATTTCTTTTCCAGCAGTTGACTAAACAGTCAAAGCAGACATTGTGTGCAGTGACAAACCAAAGCCTGTCTGCGATGGGAATCAATAGATTTTTATAAACATAAATTGTTCTCTGCAATGAGGAGTTTACAGCTGAAAGGCTGCCCGACCGCTATGTATGTTAGTCCTGAGCCCTTGCCAGGCGTGCAGGTTAACACTGGTGTTCTGCTCCAAGTATTTCCTTCCACTGGTGAATTGTTCACTGTGTGCTATGTGTAGACTGGGAGACTGCTGCACTGGCTACCAAGTGTCTTGGTCTAAGGAACCCTCAGAGCAGAAAGAAAGAATAGTGACAGGACCCATCTGTTGTGGCTCCCAGCTTGCGTGAGTGACTTCACTCAGCTGTTTGGGGCATCTTTGAACTGGATGTAATTCTTCCCTTCTTCACTTCTCAGGAAAGACCAGAACCTGTTGTCTCCAGTGAACTGCTGGTATTTGCTCCTGAACCAAGTGAGGCGAGAGAGCAAAGACCATGCTACCTTGAGTGACATCTATCTGAACAATGTGATCATGCGGTTCATGCAGATAAGCGAGGATTCCACCAGGATGTTTAAAAAGGTACAATCTGTAAACCCTGACAGCATAGGCTATCTGATAACCTCTTTGACTATCACCAAGACTGAGAACAGTGCCTGAAAAACTTTTAAAGGAGTGAATATTTTTAAGATACAGCATAAAATGTTAAGCCCAAACAGGCATACTTATGTGAGTATGAGTACAAAGGTGTATATAAAATGTATACATAGTATGATCTATTATTATGATCTATTATTGCATGCTAAAGGGACTTATATTCAGTTAATTACTGAATCTGTGACCTGAATAATGTGTGCAAATTTTTTAAAAAGATGGGCCAGCAAGTTGTGCGTTGGTCCCTAGGAACTGACTAACTGCACTGATGCAACATGAAAGGGAAGAAGAAAAGCCTCAGATTCTGTCTTTTGGGCTCACACATGACCAGACTTGTGAAGAACAAGATTACTACATGTGCTGCTGCTCTCTCAGGAAAATGTTATCACAGCTTTTTCTTCATCCCTCTAGACCAGCAGCAGAGGCTGTGAGAGAATGATGTGAAGGGGGAAAAAACACACAGGGCACAGAAAATTCAGTTTCTTACACACCAGAGAGTTCCCTCCTTCTCAAACCCATTAAAAAAGAGCTGGGGGTGTGGGGCAAATCAGAGCAAAACAAAAGAGAACTGGGCTTTTAAGGCTTCTTATCATCATTAATAGCTGTAGCCAACTCTCAACAAATTTTTGTTGCTTGGACATTTTTGTAGAGAGTAATAAAAAAATTGGGCTATTTCCTGTCCAGAGAATGAAGCTACTTGCCTGGTGAGACTGGCTTTCAGTTTTTGTGTTTATAGGACAAGAGTCTCCCGTGACCCTTTCAGTTTTGTACTGATAGTGTTTAGTGTCTACATTATACCTGTGCCTCTCTTCAGTAAGTAATGATTTGTTTCAGAGAGGGGTGGGGATCCACTTTGTAGATTAATGATATATTTATATTTCAAAGGGCCCCTTTAAAACAAAGGCGTAGTGTTAAGCAGGCCAGCTGGAAAACTTCTTAGTTGTGTTTGATGTATCCACATTAGATTTGATTTCTGACCTAGAAATGGAATTTAACAAGCTCTAAGTGATCTGATACTCAGTTAAAATAGGGAAAAAAAAGTGTTTTGGACAAAGGATAATTTTAAAACTGGAACCAAGGAGTATATTAATTAAGAAGAGAATAGGTAACGAAATGTCCATTTATCTTAAACAGTAGAGATTGTTTTAATAATAGTTTAAACTGAAATGTGAAGGTGAAGTGACTTACTTGCACATCAGCCCTTTCAGCAGTGACCTTGTTTGTTTCAGCCATTGTTTCCAGGCATCTCCCATGAGCAGGAGATGGTAATGTTAGGTATCCACAAGGCCACAAAGATAAAGAAAAACCAGTCCTTGTGCATAAGAAGGTTGCAGGCAATTCAATTTTGGCCCTGAATTATGCTTCCTAGTCCTGAGGGTGCTGGCAATGATTCAGCCTGGGCCTCTAGGACCAGCACCTCAGTAGAGATCATGTATTTATCCATTTAACAAAACATCTTTAAATGTCTGGCTGGCAAAGCAGAGTTAAAAGACATGTCCCTGCTTGAGAGGAGCTCATTAGAATAATTAAGATTTGTCATGCTAACGAGATGCACAGGCGCTGTGGGAGCCCGAAGGCTGGGGAGTTTACTTCACCTAGGGGTCAGGAAATGCTTCACACAAGAGGGAACACTTGACATGAGGCTTTTAGGAGGAGGCATTCATCAGGTAGACAAGGACAAGGAGCTCTCCAAGGGAAAGCCGAAGCTTGTGTTCAGGAAAAGGAAAGTGTTTCATGTGATAGGAGCAGGGACTGCATGGGAGTGAGTGATGGGATGTGAGGGGGGAAAAAGGTCAAATAAGAAGGGACTTTATACATCTTGTGGAGATGCAAGGATTTGTATAAATCAAGGGCTTGGTAAAGTTAATAGCAATCTAGGACTCAGAGTCAAATGAATTTGGACTTGAATTCCAGCTTCTCTGTTTACTTGCTTTGTGATTGTGGGAGATGGGAGATTCACACAAATGCTCTGTACTCTTGAAGGGGGTGAACAAGGCAAGATTGGACAGAGGGGGAAACTACACATGTGGGAACCCTGGGGCCGGGATAGTCTTTGGAGTTTCTCATATCCTGGCAAGGAGATATGCCCAGCTCTTTTCAGCCATGGGATTTAGGCTGCTCTGGGGGAAGGATAAGTAATCCTGGGATAAGGCAGCTCCCTTTGGTGGAGGGTAGTTCCCAGGGGTAATTCCCAGAGTGGGATCAGCTCTGAGTTTTAGCAGCCAGCAGCAGATATTCCCAGTAGTTGGGGGAATGTGTTCCTGGCTCTGGAATAGGGTTCTGTGAAATTCACAGTAAATACACAGACAGATACATCTGCTTGTTTATTACCTAGCATTCTCTACTTAACCAGATTTTCTGAGATTCAAAGAATTTACAGTGAATTCCTGCTTACTTTGGCATTTAGTGGGGGGAATGTTCCATGCTTCCTGAACAGCCTTCTCTCTCTGAGCTGATGCTGACCAGTTGAAAGCTAGCAGTGTTTACAACCACAGACACCAAATTCTACCTTACTCGAGACTACAGAAGACTGTGCGTACCTCACCCTTCTGTTATTGTGGGGAAAAGAAAGAACAAGAGAGATGGGACTGAAATGGAAAAGACCAGAGCTTATTGAGGAGCCAGATCAACCTGGAACACATCTGTCATCTGAATGAAAAGGAAGGCAGGATTTGTATCTTTCAAATCCAAAGAATTTCAGGTCCCTTTACATTAGAAAGCAAAAATAATCTCTATGCTTGTTTGCCTGCCATGCTCTCCTCCCCTCCCCTCCCCTCCCCTCCTCAACTTTCTACTTCTTCAGTTCTTCTTCCATTGTATGATTCTAGGGTAGAACCCTATTTTCTATCAAAATGGGAAGAAATCACCAGAATTCTGCTAAAGTGTTCTTTGCAACTGTTTTGGAGTCCTTTCTGGGCATAATGCTTATCTTTCTTAGAATGGATTTTGAGACTTCCTGATTTTTCCCCATGTATATAGGGAGATCTGCATAGATGCTGACTGCTGGGTAGTTTGGCTTCTTAAACAGCTGCATTTTATTTGATTTAGTCAACAACAGAGAATCCTTTTACCTATTTTGTCAGATAAGGAGTGTAGAGCAGGTAATTTCAGGACTCTTTGTGTTCAAATAGATACAATAATAAAGAAGACACTTGTAGGAATAGGTAATTTCATGCATAGTGTTAGGAAACAGCTTCAAGACTATGGTTTTAATTGCATCGGTTATGGTTGCATCAGCATGTCAAAAAGCTTTTAACAGGTAGGCCTGGTGAAGTGGTGCACCTCTGTAATCCTAGCATTCAGGAGACTGAGGCAGGAGGATTGCCTCGAGTTCAAGGCCAGCCTGGGCTGGAAAGTCAGTTCAAGGCCAGCCTAAAGTACATAATGAGACTGTCTCAAAAAGACAAAAAGGGGAGAAGAAAAGAAAAAGACAGCTCTTAACAGGCAGAAAAAGTGAAACTTTTAAAAAATATTCAATTATTCAAATATTGATTATTTCAGATCTAGATTTTTTTCTTCTTTGGTACTGGGGATAGAACTTGGGTCCTTGCGCTTGCACAACAGGCAGTGAAACCACTGAGTTAAATCTCTGGCCCAGATCTAGATTTTTAAAGTATTAAATGTAACCAGTTATGAGACTAATAGTGATTCAGCTTTTAGGATCTGAAATCAGCTGTTTTGGGTATAAATTTCGACTTTGCTGAGGCACCTATATTTGATTCTGATGTGATTAAAACTATGGTCTTGGAGCTGTTTCCTAGCACTGTGCACGAAATTAAGTATTCCTGCAAGTATCTTCTTGATTATTGTATCCACAAGCTATATGGACTTGGCAGTATTTTTGAACCTCTGATGCCTCAATTTCTACATCTATAAAGTGTGTATAGTAGCTTATTCCACATAGTTGTATGGGAGATTGATGAATCATGTGTGGAAAGCAACTGAGCCCATATCTGGACTTAAATCCCAAGTAAATTTTTAGCTAGTATTTTTCTTATCATCGGTAGTGTAATCATTTATTCCATACACCTACAATAATTATATAATGTGGGATTATGCATTAATCACATGTTAAATAATGTGTCCTCATTCTAAGGAGACTATATGCACAACTTTGGTAAATACATTCAGATCATCACATTTTATTTATCACTTATTATGATGTTGCATATTTAAAAGCTGACTGAACCAAGTGAAAGCCTGTGTTGGTTAATACCCCATGCCTCTCAGGTCCCCAACATCCATTTCACACAGAGAGTCTTAGGTTTGAGGCCCCATTGATTTCTTTACTGATTCAGTGAGGAGAGTTACTTCACTCCAGATCCTCCGGTAGATATGCACAATGCAAACACCAACAGGAGAGGACTCTTTCTATCCTCTTAAGCTCTGCTTTGCCATTTTAGGGGGAGATCAGAGTTTGGGGACTCCTTGTACATAAAGGTTTGTCTCATTATCAAGGATCTCTTTTTTCCCAAAGAACAAAGGCTAGTGTTGTGCCTCTTGCCCTGTTCTCAATCCTGCCTCCTGTAGCCCCGAGATTTTTGCTTCCATCTTTCCATTACTCATACTGAAAGAAAGTGTTCTGCATCTGGTTGGGTGGTACAGTCAGAAAACATGCAGTTCATATGCTACACATAAAAATGTAATTAATGTCAGCAATTACAGTTGCCAGTTTACAGTTATTTTATTGAAGTACCTACCCACAAGATATTATTTACTGATTTTAAGAATGTTAGTAGAAGTATGTAGTGTAGAGGGAGTACCATAATATGGTGGCATTTGAATATATTAAATTGTCCTTGTTTTAAATTATCTAGAAAGCAGTCATTTTTCCATGAATTGTTTTCAAATTATTAATATATTTTTATCTTTCCTTGTTGTGCATAAATATATGTGCCAGGATAATTTATTTTGTTTCTTAACCAATA